TAAAGGTTAAAATGTGATATTAAAGATTAAAATGTGATATTAAAGGTGAAAATGTGATATTAAAGGTTAAAATGTGATATTAAAGATTAAAGCACAATATAAAAGGTTAAAGTGCGATATTAAAAAGTGATATTAAAGATTAAAATGTGATATTAAAGGCTAAAACACGATATTAAAGGTTAAAGTGCGATATTAAAGGTTAAAATGCAATATTAAAGGTGAAAGCGAGATATTAAAAATTAAAGAGTGAGATATTGAAAATTAAAGAGCGATATTAAAAATTAAAGGGCGATATTAAAGGTGAAAACACAATATTAAAGGTGAAAATGCGATATTAAAAGTGAAAATGCGATATTAAAGGTGGAAAATGCGATATTAAAGGTGAAAATGTGATATTAAAGGTGGAAAATGCGATATTAAAAATTAAAACGCGATATTAAAGATGAAAATGCGATAATAAAGGTGGAAAATGCGATATTAAAAATTAAAACGCGATATTAAAAGTGAAACCGCGACATTAAGGACGAAAACTCGACTCCGCTGCCTCCAGAGCTCTGGAGGGGTGGGACGAGGATTTCAAATTTTCCCGCCCCCGAATTTCTCAGGAATTAATTATTTTAATTATTTTTGGATTTTTTTTTTTGGGATTCCGCCTGGCTCAGCCCATCCCCCACCCCCCGTGGTGACACCAGGGGTCCCCAAATGTCCCAAAGTCCCCAAAGCCACGTCCCCCCACCCCAGCCCCGTACCTCGCGCCACGAGGAGGAGGAAGAAGCTCGGTGTCGACCCCGGCGCCATCTCGGTGGGTGGGACCCCCAAAATCCAGTCTTGGACCCCCAAAATCCCGGCTGGAACCCCCAAAATCCAGTCTTGGACTCCAAAATCCAGTCTTGAACCCCCAAAATCCAGGCTGGGACCCCCAAAATCCAGTCTTGGACCCCAAAATCCAGTCTTGGACCCCAAAATCTAGTCTTGAACCCCCCAAAATCCAGTCTTGGACCTAAAAATCCAGGCTGGGACCCCAAAATCCAGTCTTGGACCCCCAAAATCCAGTCTTGGACCCCCAAAATCCAGTCTTGGACCTAAAAATCCAGTCTTGGACCCTAAAAATCCAGTCTTGGACCCCAAAATCTAGTCTTGAACCCCCAAAATCCAGTCTTGGACCCCAAAATCTAGTCTTGAACCCCCAAAATCCAGTCTTGGACCCCAAAATCCAGGCTGGGACCCCCAAAATCCAGTCTTGAACCCCCAAAATCCAGGCTGGGACCCCCCCAAAGCCTGGGGGGTTGGAAGGCGAGCAGGAGACACCACGTGATGGGGGAAGGCCAACGGTTCCTGTTTCTTTTTTGAGCTGGAAACCGCGGTTTTTGGGTGTGTGACAATGTCACAAGGGTGTCACAGCCTGGCGGGGGCACCGCGCGTGGCACCCCCAAATCCCCACCGGAGTGACCCCAAAGCTGTCCCACCCCATGGGACACTGACCACAAGGGTCACCGGAGTGACCCCAAAACTGTCCCACCCCACGGGACACTGACCACAGGGGTCACCGAAGTGACCCCAAAGCCACCCCAATGACCAGCAGGACACTGACCCCAAAGGTCACCAGAGTGACCCCAAAACTGTCCCACCCCATGGGACACTGACCACAGGGGTCACTGGAGTGTCCCCAAAGCGACCCCAATGGTCAATGGGGCACTGACCCCACACCTGGGTCACCGGAGTGACCCCAAAACTGTCCCACCCCATGGGACACTGACCCCAAAGGTCACCAGAGTGACCCCAAAACTGTCCCACCCCATGGGACACTGACCACAAGGGTCACCAGAGTGACCCCAAAGCCGTCCCGATGACCAGCAGGACACTGACCCCAAAGGTCACCAGAGTGACCCCAAAACTGTCCCACCCTATGGGGCACTGTCCCCAAGGGTCACCAGAGTGACCCCAAAGCCGTCCCGATGACCAGCAGGACACTGACCACAGGGGTCACCAGAGTGACCCCAAAGCCACCCCAATGGTCAATGGGGCACTGACCCCACATCTGGGTCACCAGAGTGACCCCAAAACTGTCCCACCCCATGGGACACTGACCCCAAAGGTCACCAGAGTGACCCCAAAGCCATCCCAATGACCAGCAGGACACTGACCACAAGGGTCACCAGAGTGACCCCAAAGCTGCCCCAATGACCAGCCGGACACTGACCCCAAGGGTCACCTCTCCCCTCACTGTGGGTGACCAGAGTGACCCCGAACCGGGGGAATTTGGGATCGGATCCCCGGGAATGTGCCAGGGGTGGAAATTTGGGATGATTTTTCCATGGAAAAAGGCTTGGGAAGCACCAGGAGGAGCTCAGGGACCCCCACCCCCGGAGTTTTCCGAGGAATTCCTGCACTTCCCTCCTCAGGAGCCATCCAAACACCGGGAATTCTCCCTCCAACCCCAAAAAATCCAGGAATTCTCCTGGAATTCTCCCTCCAACCCCAAAAAATCCGGGAATTCTCCCCTCCAACCCCAAACAATCCGGGAATTCTCCCTCCAACCCCAAAAAATCTGGGAATTCTCCTGGAATTCTCCCTCCAACCCCAAACAATCCTGGAATTCTCCCCTCCAACCCCAAAAAATCTGGGAATTCTTTGTCCAACCCCAAACCATCCGGGAATTCTCCTGGAATTCTCCCCTCCAACCCCAAAAAATCCGGGAATTCTTTGTCCAACCCCAAAAAATCCGGGAATTCTCCTGGAATTCTCCCCTCCAACCCCAAAAAATCCTGGAATTCTCCCCTCCAACCCCAAAAAAACTGGGAATTCTCCCTCCAACCCCAAACCATCCGGGAATTCTCCCCTCCAGACGCCTCCGGAGAGGCGAGTCCAGAATTCCAGGCTGGAATTCCTTCCCAGGAATTCCAGGAGAGATCTTTTGTCCCCGGGGGGGTCCCAAAGCGGCCGCCGGCGTCTTCCCACGGCCGGGGGGACAAAGGGACCCCCGAGACCCCCGCTGGGCCCTGACCCACTTCAGCCCATCCCCGTTAATTAATTCCGGGCATTAATTGGGTTATGCTAATGAGGGGGGTTGGGGGGAAATGAGGGCGGGGCTGGAGGAGGGGTTTGGGCGGGGTTTTGGGCGGGGTTTTTTGTTGTTTGGGCGGGGTTTTAGGGGAAATTTTTTTAGGGAAAATTTTAGGGGGAATTCTTCCCCTTTTTCTAGGTTTTAGGGAAAATTCTTCGTCTTAAGGGGGTTTTAGGGGAAATTTTTCCTCTTGGGGGGATTTGGGGAGGGAATTTGGGGAAAATTCTTCCTCTTAAGGGGGATTTTAGGGGGAATTTTTCCACTTTGGGGGGTTTTTAGTGGAAATTCTTCATTTTGGGGAGGGAATTTGGGGAAAATTCTTCGTCTTGAGGGGGTTTTAGGGGAAATTCTTCCCCCTTTTTCGAGGTTTTAGGGAAAATTCTTCGTCTTAAGGGGGTTTTAGGGAAAATTCTCCCTCTTGAGGGGGTTTTAGAGAAATTTTTCCTCTTAAGGGGGATTTAAGGGGAAATTTTTCCACTTTGGGGGGGGTTTTAGGGGAAATTTTTGGTTTTGGGGAGGGAATTTGGGGAAAATTCTTCATCTTGAGGGGGGTTTTAGGGGAAATTTTTTTAGGGAAAATTTTAGGGGAAATTCTTCCCCTTTATTGGAGGTTTTTGGGAAAATTCTTTGTCTTAAGGGGGTTTTAGGGGAAATTCTTCCCCCTTTTTCGAGGTTTTTGGGAAAATTCTTCGTCTTAAGGGGGTTTTAGGGGAAATTTTTCCTCTTAAGGAGGATTTTAGGGGAAATTTTTCTACTTTGGGGGGATTTTAGGGGAAATTTTTGGTTTTGGGGAGGGAATTTGGGGAAAATTCTTCCTCTTAAGGGGGATTTTAGGGAAAATTGTTTTCCTTTATTGGGGATTTTTTTGGGGGGGGAATTTGGGGTGGATTTTAGGGAAAATTATTCTCCTTTATTGTGGATTTTCGGGGGGGGATTTTAGGGAAAATTCTTCCTTCAGCGGGGAATTTTGGGGTGAATTCATCTGTATTCGCACCAAAAAAAAAAAGGAAAAAAAAAAGAAAATCCCCAAATTTTCCAAACCCTAAAAAAAAACAAAAACCCCCAGAGAATTCCCCATCTGTCCAATCCCAAATCCATCCCCATCCACACTTCCCCACCCCCAAATCTTCGCTCCGGAGGTCGAATCTTGGGTGAAAAACCCCGGATTTCTGGATTTTTCCCTATTCCATCTGGCGGCCGCCGGATTTTCCGGGAGAAGAATTCCACAGGGACGGGAATTCCGGGGTTTTGGGGCCGGTGGGATTGGAGGAACCCGAGGGCCTGAAAATCCCGTTATCCTGCGAGGAAAATGGGTGGGATTTAGGAATTTTTTTTGGGAATTTTTTTTGGATCCCAAATGAAATTCCCGATGGATTTTCCCGTTACCTCCAAGTAGGCGGTGGAGACCAAAGCTCGGTCCAGCCTCTTCCTCTTGGTGGAGGAAGGCTGTGGGGGGAAAAAAGGGGAGGGAAAAGGAAAATTCCGGGTGGGAAAAGCGGGGTGGCGATCCCAAAATTTTTGGGGGGGGATTTGGGAATTCCTGAAAATCGGGAGTTTGATATTCCTAAAAAATTTGGGGATTTGGGATTCCTAAAAATCGGGAGTTTGGTATTCCTAAAAATTGGGAATTTGGTATTCCTAAAAATTGGGGATTTGGTATTCTAAAAATCGGGATTTTGGTATTCCTAAAAATCGGGAGTTTGATATTCCTAAAAAATTTGGGGATTTGGGATTCCTGAAAATCTGGGAATTTGGGATTTCTAAAAATTGGGGATTTGGGGATTCCTAAAAAATTTGGGGATTTGGTATTTCTAAAAATCGGGAGTTTGATATTCCTAAAAAATTTGGGGATTTGGGATTCCTAAAAATCAGGAGTTTGGTATCCCTAAAAATCAGGGATTTGGTGTTCCTTAAAATTGGGAATTTTTGTATTTGGAATATTTTGGTATCCCTAAAAATCGGGGATTTGATATCCCTAAAAATTGGGGATTTGGGATTCCGAAAACTTTGGGAATTTTGTATCCCTAAAAATCGGGGATTTGATATTCCTAAAACTTTGGGAATTTGGTATCCCTAAAAATTGGGAATTTTTGGTATTGGGAATATTTTGGTGTCCCTAAAAATCGGGGATTTGGGGTTCCTAAAAATTGAGAATTTGGTATTCCTAAAAATTGGCAATTTGGGATGCCTAAAACTTTGGGAATTCGGTATCCCTAAAAATTAGGGATTTGGGATTCCTAAAAATCGGGGATTTGGTATCCCTGAAAATTGGGAATTTTTGTATTGGGAATATTTTGGTGTCCCTAAAAATCGGGGATTTGATATCCCTAAAAATTTGGGGATTTGGGGATTTGATATTCCTAAAACTTTGGGAATTTGATATTCCTAAAAATTGGGAATTTTTGGTATTGGGAATATTTTGGTATCCCTAAAAATTGGGGATTTGGGATTCCTAAAACTTGGGGAATTTGGTATTCCTAAAAATCGGGAAATTGGGATTCCTAAAAAATTGGGAATTTGGTATCCCTAAAAATTGGGGATTTGATATTCCTAAAAATTGGGAATTTTTTGTATTGGGAATATTTTGGTATCCCTAAAAATCGGGAATTTGATATTCCTAAAAATTGGGAATTTGGGATTCCTAAAAATCGGGGATTTGATATTCCTAAAAATTGGGAATTTGGGATGCCTAAAACTTTGAGAATTTGATATTCCTAAAAATTTGGGGATTTGGTATCCCTAAAAATTGGGAAATTTTATATTGGGAATATTTTGGTATCCCTAAAAATCGGGGATTTGGTGTCCCTAAAAATCGGGGATTTGATATTCCTAAAAATTGGCAATTTGGGATGCCTGAAACTCTGGGAATTTGGGATTCCTAAACCTCGGCGTCGCTCCGGGTGATCCTCACCCTCCGTCCAAACTGGACCGTGGAGTAGACGGTGAAATTCCCGGCTTCTTCCTGCTGCCTGGGATGCTCCTGATGGGGGAAAAAAGGGGAAAAATTGGGATGAGCCGATTAAAAAAAAAAGGGAATTTTGGGATGGGGAAGGGGTTAAAGAATCCCGGGATCCGTCGGGAGTGGCCGCACCAGTGTCCTGGGAGTGACCAGGGCGTAGACGGTGGCCTCGCTGCTCCCGGCCTGGGAAAACACAAAAAAAGAGGGAAAAAAAATTAAAAAAAAAAATCTGGGAATGTTCAAAAAGGATCGAAATCCCGATTTTCCCAAAGCGGAAGGAATTCCCCCGCGGTTTGGGGTGTCCGAGGGATGGCCGGACAAGGAGTGACCAGGGGTCAGTCCCAGCTCGGAGCTCCAATTTCCCAAGGCCGGAATTCCCGGATTTTGGGTGGGAAGGGACATTCCCGGCACTCACGGGGTCCTGGCGGGGTTTCCTCTCTCCCACCTCGGCGTAGATGGTCAGGGGCTGCTCCGGGGGGGCTGCGGGGGGCTCTGTGGGAGCAGAATTCCCAGATTTTGGGGGTCCGGGGGTCAGAATTCCCAGATTTTGGGGTTCTGGGGGTCAGTTTGGGGTCAGAATTCCCAAACTGGGGTTCCAAGGGTCAGTTTGGGGTCAGAATTCCCAGATTTTGGGGTTCCAAGGGTCAGAATTCCCAGATTTTGGGGTTCTGGGGGTCAGAATTCCCAGATTTTGGGGGTCTGGGGGTCAGAATTCCCAGATTTTGGGGTTCTGGGGGTCAGTTTGGGGTCAGAATTCCCAAATTGGAGTTCCAAGGGTCAGAATTCCCAGATTTTTGGGTTCTGGAGGTCAGTTTGGGGTCAGAATTCCCAGATTTTGGGGTTCCAAGGGTCAGAATTCCCAAATTGGGGTTCCAGGGGTCAGAATTCCCGGATTTTGGGCATTCCAAGGACCGGAATTCCCGGATTTCGGGCATTCCAAGGACCGGAATTCCCGGATTTCGGGCATTCCAAGGATCAGACCCTTCCCCCTGCTCGGGATCCTGCTCCGACATTCCCGCCTCACCTTCCCGGGAATTCTTTTTCCGCTTCCAGCAGCAGACGCTTCCCGCCAGGAGCAGGATCAGCCCCACGGCCACGGCCGCCGCTATCCAGGGGCCGAAATTCCCGGGAATTCCTGGAAAAGAATCCCAGAATCCCGGAATTGGGCTGGGAATCCGGGATGAAACCATTCCCAGGATTTCCCCCGGATCTATAAATTGAGAATTTTTTTTTTTTTATATTTTTTTTTTTTGCCTTAAATAAAATAAATGATATATTTATTAAATTTATTAATATAAATTAAATTAATTATATAAATTAAATTTATTAAATGATATATTTTATAAATTGTAAATAAAATTAATGGTTAATTGTGGGTTGAAGAGGTGAAAAATATTGGCGTTTATATAGGAATAATTAAGGATTAAATTAATAATAATAAAAATAAATAATAATAAATAAATATGAATAAATAATAATAAATAAATGTTAATAATTGTAATAATAAGTATAAATAGACATTTTTATCTATGCAAACAAATACATATTTTATATCAAAGATATAATAAACATAATATATTTATCTATAATTTTATGTAATATACATAATATTATTTATAATATATATTTATTTTATATATTTATTATCATTTATATAATATATAAATGCATTTTATATTTTATCATTTGCATTTTATCCTTTAGAATTTGCGGTTTCTATTTTATATTTTATCATTTGCATTTTATATATTTTTATTTTATAATTTGCATTTCATCTCTTATCTTTTATCTTTTATCTTTTGCATTTTATATTTTTTATTTTACTTTTTGTCTTTCGTATTTTACCTTCTATGTTATTTTAGAATTTGCATTTTATACAAACGGATAGTAATAATAATAATAGTAATAACAGTAATAATAATAATAGTAATAACAGTAATAATAATAATAATAATAATAATAATAATAATAATAATAATAATAATATATTATAATAATGATAATAATAATAATTTTTATCAAATAAATATCAATTTATCACAGAACACACCCCAAAAATTCCCCTTTCACCTTAAAAACCCAACCAAAAATCACATTTTTCACACCTACCCAAACCATTTTTTCCCACAAAACCTCACTTTTTTCCCCCGAGAACCCCCCGTAAAACCGGGAATCCTCCTGGATCCCCGCAATTCCCACGGAAAATTCCAGAACTTCATGGGAGAGCTCACCTGGGCAGGTGAGGGAGGCTCTGGCCACGCCCCAGCCCAGGGCGTTGCTGACGTTGCAGAGGCAAATTTGGGGTTCCGCGTCCTCGGGGATCCTCCGGGTGAGGCTGGACGGGGATTTTGGGGATAATTCCGGGGATTTTGGGGATGATTCCGGGGATTCCGGGGGTTCCCCGGGACATTCCCAGCTGTAGGAGACATTCCCGGGGCTGGAGCAGAGCAGGGACAGGAGGCACCAGCCCGGATCCCGCGCCAGGACCCGGAATTCCAACCGCGGCTGCTGGACAGGATCTGCGGGGATGGATGGACAGATGGACAGATGGACAGGGATGGATGGACAGATGGACACGGGGACAGGGATGGATGGACAGATGGACGCAGGGACAGGAGGCACCAGCCCGGATCCCGCGACAGGACCCGGAATTCCAACCGCGGCTCCTGGACGGGATCTGCGGGGACGGATGGACACGGGGACAGATGGACAGATGGACAGATGGACACGGGGACATGGGGACAGGTATGGATGGACAGATGGACGCAGGGACAGGAGGCACCAGCCCGGATCCCGCGCCAGGACCCGGGATTCCAACCGCGGCTGCTGGACGGGATCTGCGGGGACAGATGGACAGATGGACAGATGGACACAGGGACAGATGGACAGGGATGGATGGACAGATGGACACGGGGACAGGTATGCACCAGCCCGGATCCCGCGACAGGACCCGGGATTCCAACCGCGGCTCCTGGACGGGATCTGCGGGGACAGATGGACAGATGGACACGTGGACAGATGGACACGGGGACAGATGGACAGAGGGACACGGGGACAGGGATGGATGGACAGAGGGACACGGGGACACGGGGACAGGGATGGATGGATGGACAGATGGACAGGGTAAGAGAGGGACAGATGGACACGGGGACAGGGATGGATGGATGGATGGATGGATGGATGGATGGATGGACAGAGGGACACGGGGACACAGGGACAGGGGGACAGATGGACACGGGGACAGAAGGACTGAGGGACAGGGGGACAGGGATGGATGGATGGATGGATGGATGGATGGATGGATGGATGGACGGACGGACAGATGGACAGGGTAACAGAGGGACAGAGGGACACGGGGACAGAGGGACAGAGGGACACAGGGATGGATGGACACGGGGACAGAGGGACAAGGACAGGGACAGGGGGACACGAGGACAGGTGGATATGGGGAACAGAGGGACAGACGGACACAGGGGACAGACGGACAGACGGAACCCGCCGCTCACCCAACACGGCCACCCTGAAGCACCGCACGAAAATCCCCGAGGAATTCCCGAACTCGGCCAGGAAGGTCCCGCTGTCCCTTCTGAGCGTGGGGGACACGCACAGGGAGAGAATTCCCGGATGGAATTCCACCCTGCCGTGGAAGGATCCATTGGCACACGAGACGTGGCCGGTCCTGGTGGCCGTCAGGATCCGCTCCCGCCCTCCCGAATCCATCTTCACCCTCCACTGGAGCTCTGTCCACTCCCACGGGGGCTGCTCCGGCTCCAGGCACAGCGATTCCCCGGTGAGCACGGCTTGATCCCGGCATTCCGGGGATCCTGGGGTGGATCCCGGGGAGTTCTGGCGGGGGCTGAGCTCAGGAGAGGCTGCGGAGGGGACACGGGAGCTGCTGGGGCCAGCGAGGATGGGCTGGGTCTCCATCCCCATCCCAAAAATTCCACGCCAGTCTAGGCTGTTTCTTCCCCATCCCAAAAACTCCAAACCAGCCTGGGCTGGGTCTCCATCCTCATCCCAAAAATTCCACGCCAGTCTAGGCTGGTTCTTCCCCATCCCAAAAACTCCAAACCAGCCTGGGCTGGGTCTCCATCCCCATCCCAAAAATCCCAAACCAGCCTGGGCTGGGTCTCCATCCTCATCCCAAAAATTCCACACCAGTCTAGGCTGGGTCTCCATCCTCATCCCAAAAATCCCACTCCAGCCTGGGCTGGGTCTCCATCCCCATCCCAAAAATTCCACCCTCTCCCCATTATCCCAAACTGGTTCTGCGCCTGTTCCCCATCCCCATCCCAAAATTTCAGCTCCTTTCCCATTTTCCCAGACTGGAAAAGGCTTCGTGTCCCATCCCAAAAATTCCGTTTTCTCCCCATTATCCCAAACTGGTTTTGTGTCCGTTCTCCATCCCAAAATTTCCGCTCCTTTCCCATTTTCCCCGACTGGTTTTATGTCTATTCCCAATCCCCATCCCAAAATTTCCGCTCCTTTCCCGTTTTCCCCGCCTGTCCAAGCCCCCATTCCCAATTCCAGGGGTTCCACGCCATCCCAGACCGCTCCATCTCCCCATCCCAGGGAATTTCACCCCCCTGCCCCCCTTTTTTCTTCCTCTCTCAACTCCGAGTTTCTCTTCTCGGGAGCGGCCCCCGGATGTCGAAGGCCCCCAAAAATAAAAAACCCACGGAACATCCGCGGGGCCGAGGCCGCTTCCTGCGGCTCCGTGTGGTCAGGGCAGCTCCGGGGGGGCCCCTCAACAGCTCAATCCCCCCCAAAACCCCGAATCCCACCCATCCCGGGGGGGTTTTCCAGCAGGAAATTCCTCCCTGGGGCACATCCAGAGCCGCCGGGATCGCTCTGGGAACTCCAAAATTTCCACCGGCTGCGTCTCCCGAGGTTTGTCTTGGTGCGGGGACACCGGGAAATTCGGGAATTCCAGAGGCTGGAGCAGGGAAAAGTGGGGAATCCTTCCCTGGAGGAGCGGGAGCGGGGATTATTTGGCTTTTCCCAGCCCAAATTCCCTGCAGGACGCGGGAATTTTCTTTTCCTGCTGCCTGGGAGGTGTTGGGGGGGGGTCTCAGCCTGGAGAAAAGGGGGATCCAGGGGGAATTTTGGGATTTTCCGGGGGGGATTTGGGATCTGAGCTCAGGGAACGGGGCCGGGACCAGAGGGAACGGCCTGGAGCTGGGCCGGGGGAGGCTCAGGGTGGGAAATTTGGGGAAATTCCTGCTGGAAAAGGGGAAAAAAGGTCTCGGAGAGGGCTCAGGGAGGGTTGGATCCCCATCCCTGGAGGTGTCCGAGGAATTCCTGGGATTCTGGGTGACCAGGTGGGAGTGGGCCAACCTCAAAAATCCCGGGATTCTGCAAATCTGGGAAAAAAATGAACCCGATGCCGAACCCCCGGCAAGGTGCGGCCAGGAAATATTTTGGGAGATGCTCCAGGGCCCGTCCATCTCCCGAATCCCGCTGTTCCCCTTCCCCAAGCCCCCAAAATCGCTGTTTTTAGGGGCAAAAAAAAAAGACCCACGACCACCAAATCCTGTGAATTTTCCTCAAAATCCTGGGAAAAGCGGTTCAGCAGGGGGATTTGAGTTGGGAAAAAGAGGAAAGGTCACAGCTGTGGGGTTTCGGGAAGTGTCGGGACAGGGAAGTCGCGACTTTCAGCTCAGTTCCACACCCCAAACGCTGCTCGGGAAGGGGAAGCGACCCCGCCTCAGGGCCCGGCCGGGCTCGACCTCCCCCGGGGCAAAAACGAGGTGAGAGAACCGCGGAAAATCCCCCCCACCCCAAAAAAAAAACCGCGCTCGGCCCTTTCCTTCACCCCTCAAAACTCCCGAATTTCCATGGAATTCCCGAAATCCATCCCGGAGCGACCCCTCCTCACCTGGGCTGGGGGCCAGGGCCAGCAGGGCCAGCAGGGCCAGCAGGGTCAGCAGGGCGAGGGGACAGCGGCGACCCCCGGGTGGGGACAAGGCGAGGGGACAGCGGCGACCCCCGAGTGGGGACACGGACACGGCGGGGGGACAGCGGCGACCCCCGG